CTTTTGTTGGCTTGTGACATAACTGGGATGACACACAACTGGGCTATACCCAGACACAAATGACGAGCCAATGGGCCAATGTCATCGGGTGATGGGCTTATTTGTCTGTTTGTCAAATATTTTTTCTTTCCCTTTTTTTTTTTTTTTTTGCTTTTGTCTATTTGTCTCAATCTGTCCACATGTTTGTTTGTTTATCTTTCTATTTGTGCTCATCGATCTCGGGAACTGTTACAGCTAGAAAGGCCGAATTAGTTATGTGGTCACTTGTTTTGGATTTTGTGTCTTTTAACTCTCAAACGGATGCAGTCGCATGCCCTGTACTTGGATATAGCTTAAAAGCGGGTAGCATGCACTAGCTAAAGTTTGATCAAAATTATTATATAATAATATAATATTGTATATGCAATAGTTATGTAACCAATTATGCAACAAAAAAAAAAAAAAAATACTTCTATGTACACGTGAGCACTATTGCACAAGAATAATCCGAAGCAACAGTACAGGGCATTCGGCTAGTCGAGCACACTCATCTACAATACACTCACTGTCTTCGGGCCGTTGGGACGCGGCTTTAGGTCCAGCCAAATGCCGCCCTTGTGGGCACCCACAAAGATAAACGGATCCAGTTCGATGCCATCGAGGGTACGTCCATTGACGAACACCTCGTACCGCCTGATAATGGCCGCCAGCGCGGCCTTGGTTTGGGTCAGGCCCAGGCGTATGCCCACACACTGACGCGGTCCGTTGCCAAAGCCCAGAAAGACGCCCAGCTGTTGGAATCGCTTGAGACCGCCATTAAGAAAGCGTTCGGGTCGAAACTCTTGCGGCTCTGGATAAAAGTTGGGATCATGATGCAGTCCATAAATGGGTATCATGACATTGTCACCCGGATACATTTGCAGCGGGCCGCTGTGATGGCTGCCATGAAACGTGTAGGGCTCTGTGCAGGTCTTGGAGGCCCAACCGCCAGCCGGATAGATGCGCAGGCTCTCTGCAAAAGGAGAGCAAAAGAAAATGCTGAAACTAGAACGTTTACGAATGAAGCACAAAGAAGAAAATGTAATTGGATGCTCTAACATCGCCCACTCATGATGCTTATGAATGAAAGAACATTTACGCATGAAGCACAAAGAAGAATTTACAAAATATAGCATAATTATAGACATACGCGTGAGTGCATTCGAAAACGTTTACGAAGGTAGCACAAAGAAGAAAATGTAAATCGTAACATAGGCACACACACAGAAGCTTCTATGCATGCAGTTAGTTAGGTATTGTTAGAATTAAACCCACCATTTAAACAGGCACTCAAATAGGGCAGCTCACTCAGAAGCTCAAAGTCGGGCAGCAGTTCATTCGCAGCACAGGCCTTGTCCAGCTCCAGCCACAATCGCTGCTGGCACTCCGGATATCGGCCGAGCTGGGCAGAAAGAAGCCGCAGCTTAGCTCAAGTTGGGCTGATTGACCAAGGCGACTCACCAGTAGGAGACAATGCGCAATTGTCGAGGATGTGGTGTCCAGGCCATCGAACATGAAGGTCATCGCATGCGATGTCAGCTGCGCTTCGCTGAGCTGGTGTTCCCGCTGCATGTCCAGCAGATGATTGATGAAATCGTTGCGCTCCTGTCGCTTGCAGCGCCTCAGATGAAATGCCTCGTGCAGCAGATCGCCAAAGAAGCGATCGTATGTGGGCGGTATGATCTTGGGGCGCAGGCAGCGTGGCAGTTGCGGAAAGAGGCCGTTCAGGGCGCCCGCCAGGGCCAGCCGGTAATTATCCTCAGACATCGCCTTGTTGTGCTCGGCAACGGGCAGCGGCGCATCGGTAAAGCTGCGCGCCTCGATGCCCAGAACGCAGTCGAAGAGATTCTCGCTGGTGAAGCGCAAACCCAGCTGCAAGATCAAGCTTTAATAATGATAAAGTTTAAAGCTCTTAAGCTAGGTCAGCTTTAAGCCTAACACAATTTGATTCGCTTAAAGCTTTCATTTGTAGCCAATTTTAAAAGCACCTGCCTTAAAGCTCGCGCTGAACTCAATTAAGTTAGCTTAAAGCTCACATTTTTGTTCAGATTGCGAAGCTTTCAAGCAGCCACAACAAGTTTGCTTACTTAAAGTTTTAAATTATATTAAAGCTTTCGCGTTCAGGCATTTGGGACGAGCTTTCACTTACAACGCTTATTAACACTGCATTCGGTTGTTGCAGTGTTGAAAAACAAACGAAAAAATCCCTCTATTACAGATAATCTACTCACATCCATGCCATTGTAGGGCTGACCGCTCGCCGACAGCTGATCAATGTAGGCACAGAGCTTGCCACAAATGCGCCGCATATTGATGTAGGCATTGCGTATACGCCCGCTGGTCAACAGGGGCGAGAAGATGCCCCGCTGCAACCGCCACTCGTCGCCGTCGAGCACAAAGGGATTGCACGAGACAAGTCTGTCCTTGTCCGTGTCAATCATGCGCGACGCATCGTTGTGCTCAAAGTGCCGAAATGCGCTCACAAGCACCTCGTTCACCAGCTTGGGCTCCAACAGCAGCAGCTTGGGAGCTCGCACCAAATAGGTGCCCACATAGCTCTCCGTCAAGCGATATTGCCTGTAAAAATTAATAGAAAACAAGAAACTTAAAATTGGCATTATGAATTTTTATAAAATCGATAAATATCGATTTGTAGTCATCGATTTGTAGTCATTGATTTGAAATCATGTTCTTTCATTTTTTCTCTTTTTTCAGATCTACCCCTTGTTAATTCGAAAATTTGGAAATGACTTAGCCTGAAAGGTAGAGCTTAGTACTTTGGTATACACGCACTCTTGAATGTCTTATTTAAGCTCTGAAAATTTCATTACGATCGAACTACAAGCAACGAAGTTACTTGAGATAGATAGAGCTCTCATGGATAGTATGGGGCAAAGGATAGAGAGACAGAGGTAAGTTTATATTCCCAATATCGACTGATGCCGTCTTCCATATATTGTATCCCCCACTCACATGTAGAGATCGCGCATATCGTTCAGGAAATGACGGCGCGGCCAGACCATGTTGGGAAAGGAGCCGAGCAGCGGCAGGGCGCGCGGCTCGCAAATGCCGCGACGACGCCAATGTCCGATATTCCATACCAGAAACACGTAGAGCAGCGAGAGGAGCGCAATGAGGGTCAGCAGCAGCGATTCCAGATACATGACAACAGCGATTCTGGGCAAACGTTCGGCGGCAACTGATGCGAGGCTCTGTCAAGTGAAGGTAATCGGAGCTCCGCGAACAACAATCGTTGGATTGGGGCACGGATTGTACGCCTCCGCGCGAACAATCAATCAGTCACAACTGCGAACTGTAGTCGGGCACATCATTGCGTAATTTGACTGAGGCACGACAGTTTCCATGGCTGAGTGCTGCCGGCAAATTGGGCACCTCCATTATCGAATTAGACGCTAAGTGGCCCGGCTGAAGTGTGTAGAGTGCGAAGAGAACTCGTTTGGATAAGCAAACGTTGTGTAAGCGTAGGCGTACATGTTATGTGCTGTTTATCGATAACTACAAATATCGATTGACGATAAATATCGAATTGCGATTTATAGTTGCATTTCGTTGAGTGTTGCATAGGAATATATGTTATATTAAACGATAAATCGATAAATGCAACTATCGATTGACGATATATATCGAATTGCGATTCTGCATTTCGTTGTATGTTGCATAGGACTATATGTTATATTAAACGATAAATCGATAAATGCGACTATCGATTGACGATAAATAGGACTATATGCATAGCACTATATGTTATATGATGCTTATCGATAAATTGCGACTATCGATTGACGATAAATATCGAAGTGTAATGTACATAATATACATTTTACTCTCAAATAAAATCTTAATAAAGTGTTTGATATTATTTTTTGATTTTACCTAAAAAAAAAACTTATACAATGATCATTTGTTGTTTCAAGTTTCAATGATTGTTACGCTTGTTAGTATCAATCAATCATCCAAATCGTTTGAGCGGCCACAGTTAATATTTGTTTTGACTGGATCGATTTATTAACAGCTCTTTTAAGCCGGTAGCCGGGTACATTAATCACAGCTCTGGCAATAGACGTAACTTGTTAGCAATGCTCGAGAAGATCGTCTATGAATAACTCCCATTTCACCTTTGCACCGGCGACATTGACATTGTTGCCCGGATCGTGACTGATTGGCTGTTAACTGCCAGCAATTCGGTAACTAAATTTAGAGCCGCTTTTAGAGATACTTTTGCACTTAAGTATTGCACATGGGTTTTACAATATGTGAATGAGCTATGTTTGATATCCGTAGCACGCAACAGTTAAGTAAGCAATAGGCTAATAATAAGTAGCTTACAGTCGACAGTCCATATTTATAATATAAGCTATATTTCGATTGAGTTTCATTCACGATCATATAAATCAATTGTCAGTCAAAATATCAGCGTAATATTTAATTTAAAAGTTGATTATATACAATCATTAAACTAAACAATCTCAAAGTTCGTTGAAAATGAGTTCGATGTAGGGAAAATTAGTCAGACAATAAGCTAGTTAGTCAGTCAGGACAAACAGTTTTAGTTATAGAGATATATAATGTTGAGTTTCAATTTTGCTAACTCGTAATTTTTTGAATTTCCCACCATCTGCTGGCGCCATCTGTTGCCACTGGCAATTAACGTAAGCCACCCTTTTTTTTATTGGTAAGGGCATACATATTCTGAGCTCTTTTCCACAATCAAGTAAGCAGGATCAAAATGTCTTTGATACTTAGTAAAACATTATCATATGAATATGTTTTAAAATATAAATGCGAATAAATAAATAAAAATCAAATATTTTACTGCAGAAAATATTTATAGTTTTAATCACACTTACCAATTAGCTGCTGGCGCCATCTATTGAAAAGCGTCAATATACTGCTGCCAGCCAATATATTGTAGACTTCACAAAGAAATATCGAAAGCTTGACGGATTGCAACTGTCTATCGATATGTTGTGAATGCAATTCCCTTGTGAATGCAATCGATGTGCGATATTTTTAAAAATAGTATCAACAATCATAGGGAGTAGGTATATCGCCATTTTTAGGCACACCGACGCGATTCGCATTTAACTTCTATTTAGCCGAATTGAAATGGTAAGCGAAATGGTAATTATAGCAAATGCAATAATGCACGCTATTCACTAAGCATTTGTCATGGCACAGCTGAAAACAAATTGCCTTACCTGGCTGGGCCTTGTGGCGGCGGCATCAATATTTTGGCCAATGCTGCTCGTCAATGGCTTTGACAAAGAGATGACGGTTTATGTGGACGCCGGCAAAAAGGAGTGCCTATACCATACGGTCAAGGCTGGCGAATTGATTGACTTTGAGTATCAGGTTATTGATGGCGGCCATGGTGATCTGGACATTAGCTTTGCGCTGCTCGATCCCATTGGCCTGGTGATTGTGAGCGACTACAAGAAGCCGGAGAACATGCATCGGCACGAGGTGCAAAAGGAGGGCGACTATCGCTTCTGTTTCGACAACAGCTTCAGCATGTTCAACCGCAAGACGGTGTTCTTCAATTTGATCGTGGAACGCGAAGGCGACCAGCATCATGGCGATGAACAGTGGAAGGAGGTCGATGAGCTGACTGGCCTAACACCGGACGAGTATTACGACATGAAGGTGCAGGATATTATGGACTTCATTGGACGCATACGCATGCAGCTGACCAAGGCGCGCCAGCTACAGGATCTGTTGCGCTCACACGAGGCGCGCGATCGCAATCTGGCCGAGGCCAATTTCCAAAAGGTCAACAACTGGTCACTGCTACAGATCAGCGCCATGATCGGCGTTGGCCTCATCCAGGTCTTCATGTTGCGCAGCATCTTCGAGACGCACGGACGCATGCATCATTTCTGGCGCAAACTGGGCATTTGATGAGGCAGTCAGCGTTGGGCGTGAGCGCAGGCCCAATGTTTGTCCTCGTAGCGTTTACCAAAGATGTTTGTTTGCATTTAATCAGAGCAACTTGTTAAATATTAGTCACAAACTCCTTATCAGTGTCAACTACATAGTTACTAGCTTTAATTAGGTACGTGTGTGTGTGCGCGGTGCGTGCGTGTGTGTGTGTGTGTGTGTGCGTGTCTGCATTTATTATACAAAAGCAATTGTAATTTAAGGTTAACATTCGGGATTACTCCTGCATGATCTTTATGGAATAAAGCGTTGACCAAGAGTTTCACAAAAGGAAACCCAAACATATATAAATCTGCGCCATATACAAGTATTTCGCTCGACCCCGGCGATTCTCAATAAGTTCGCGTTTCTTAAGCCGTCGAGCTAATCTCTGAATAACAAACACTTCGCAGTCAGTCAAGAAATCGCAATAGAACTTCCTAAATTTTTACCCTATAAGAATCGCCGCTGAATCAGAACTTCCAATTCAGCTGCAATTTACTTTATAGACTTTAACGTGAACATCTCAACTTGACGTCTTTAAAAAAATATATATATGTATATGAGATTTCGTGCGTGTTCGCTTTGAGAAATATTAGTAATACATAAAAGAATCATTTAATTTAATTGAATAAAATTGATGTTAATGTTCAAAGGTCTCGAATAATTCATAGAAGGGTTTCAAGCGGCTTGTGAGCCGGGGAGCCCAAGAGGCTTATTGGCCCGTCCATTTACCACCAGGGCATAAGCAAGAGGCCGTTTGACTCTGCCTTGGTAACACCAGGGTACAGGCGAGGAGTCGATTGTCCCGGCCTCGAGCAGCCGAGGAGCTTATGGTTCCGGCCGTGTGGAACTGGACGATGATATACAGCAACCCGATTCGTTGTCTGACAAATAAAGAATATATGAAATCGTTGAATAGGTGTAGACTGCCAAGACCTGAGCTTTCCGTTTGCGCTAACGATGTGACAGATTTTATAGTTTATAGTTAAGTTTAGTTTTGGTTAACAGGCTTGCACTTAAATGGTCCATTTTTGGTTTCAACAGTTTTCGCGCTCATTTAATTTACTAAAAAAAAAAAAAAAACAGATCCATATTATTACTAGGCATAGTATTTATTGAAATTTCCGCTTGCGACGGGCAGTGTGTGCTTGCTTGCGAAGTTGCCCACAGTTGACGCAGCTGCTCCGCTTGCCGGCCGAACTGTACTGAACGTTTAAGCTTAGCCCTGCTTGTTGAGACGCTTCTGGCGCTCCAGCAGCCGGCGTTCCCGCTCGAACTCCTTCATGCGCAGCACATAGTCTTCGTATTCGCAGGTGAGATAGTCATGCTTCTCGTGCGCGCACTGGTAGACAAAGGGGAACTTGTCGGCGCGACAGGACTGATAGGCGAGCAGTTTGTGGGCACAATAGTCGCGGGCATCCAGTGGCAGCTTGGCCGATTCCATCTCCTCTTGGGTGGCAATCATGACGCGCTCCTTGCGGGACTCAAAGCCCAACATGGGATCGAAGCTGGGCACCACATCCGGCCCGGGCGTTACATCTGGTTTCATATAATGGTTCAGAGCGTTGCCCATGCTGTGGTAGCGTTAAAAACACACACACGTTAAATCCATGCAAATTGCAATTGAATATAACAAATAGAAATTACGTAAAATGTTTTTCCTCGATTGTTGCTGCTGCTGCTGCGGCGCTGCTGTCAGTTCAGCTGTTGTTGTTGTAGGCCGTTTGACAGCTGTTGTAATGCAGGGCTGCAACCACAATACATCGTGCAAGAATAATCGATTAATATCGTTGAAAGCCATTTTTGGTGCGTCCACAAAATTTAAATTATAGAAATGCACGCAAGCAAAAAATATATATATAAAACATAAGCGCACACATAATTATGTTAAATTATCAAATGCAAATAGCAAAAAATATATAGTCGATAGTATCGACATTTCCAAGCATTACAATCGCCAAGCACGCGAATGTCCTGTTGCAATTAATCGATAGATTTATGGCTCGTATAGCCAGAGGTGCAAGCATACAACAAGAAATATGCATTAAGTTTCGCAAATAGTATAGTTAATTACTTAGTTATTTTGTAAATTTTTGTGCAATAAATTTTAGCCAAAAATCAAGCTGACAAACGTTCAGCTATCTAGTTATTGTTGCTCCAGTTGCAAGCGCGCGCTTCTCCCATAGAAAGAAAAGAAAACGCAGAAGTGTCGTGTCGGTGTGTTAACGGTATAACTATAACGGCATACAGATGTACATACATATGCATGTATATATGTAAAACGCATACATAAAATCGATTTTGCAAATTGTTGAACGTCTTGCGCAAAAGCCATGGTTGGATTATTGAATCCAATGAAATATGGCGATCATTTCTACGAACTATATACGAGCAATACACGCAGGTAATTGTAAATATTGTACGGCGGGGTGGTGACAGCAGCGGCAGCAGCAGCGGCAACGGCGGCACCGACATTGCATTGGGGGTTGGAAAAATCGATCGATTTTGCCGTTCGGTATAGTGTATATTGTGTATGTAGGTCTTCAACCCCTAGCCAGGCGGTCGGTATGTGTCGGGGTTGAAATGTTGGCGCCTGCACTTTTGCACGACAAGTGGGCAGCACTGGTCGCAACAGCTGATCGATAACAGCTGAGCGTTGCCAATCGGCGGCAGCAACCCGACCTGCATTAATTCGTTTGTTGTTAAATCAATAAAGCTGCTGAATATGAGCAACAAACAACCCAATCGATTCAAATTTGTGACCCGCTCTCTATTCCCGTTCTCTCTCTGTTTTGTAATTGCAGAAAACTGCAAAATGAGCGCAAGGCTCTCACGAAGCGCAAGAGCCGCAAAGAGAAGTCGGCAGCGGCCCTGGCAGCAGCTGCCGCCGCCGCTGTGCTGGACGGCAATGGCGGGGGCGTTGGTGGCGGCGCCGGTGCTGCTGCTGGTATCGTAAATCCATTGGATCCACCGTTGGTTAAGGATCAGCTGCTGTTTATGCCAGCGTTTCCGGTAGCGCAAATTGAGCTCGATCCGAACGCATCGAAATTTGCGGTATTTTCGGCCATACGCTCCACGGTGCTGGAGGCAGAGACACGCTTTGCGCTCTTCCACGAGGGCAACGGACATGGTGGCAATGGCGCCGGATCTGCGCTACGCAAATGGAGCGGCAATATGGGCTCCTCGTGCTGTCTGGTCTGCGCCAGCAGCTGCATGGTCAGCAATCTGGTCGAATGCTCCTGTCATGCGCAGCACGCTGCGGGCGGCGGCGGTGCCGGTGCAGCTGGTGCCGCTGGCGTTGCAGCAGCTGGCGCTGGTGCTGCCGGGCAAGCGGACAAACGGACAGCGAACAGCGCCAATAGCGATGCCGACTCGGATGCAGAGGAGCCTGAGGAGCGCGAACCGGTCTATGCCACAGTTCCGCTCATTGTCGGCGCCGGACTGCGCAGTCTCTTCGAACTGATTGCGGACGCACGTCATATACAACCGCTGCTGTGCACCAAGGCGCTCAAGGCGCTGCTCGATGTCATCCAGGGCCAGCAGCCGGAATCGTTTAAACTCGAACCGGAGGATCTTATCAATCCGCTCTACGATCTGCTGCTAGATCTGGCCACCATGCCGGCGGCGCTCACATCCAGCACCGGCGCCGAGGCCAATTGGTCGGCAATGGCATGCGCCGCCCTGCTCGGCCTGTGCATTGCACGCGGCGATACGGGCAAAATGCTTAAGGCAATTGCCGCCATGCTGATGTCGCCCAGGCAGCTCTCGGCGCAGATTATCCAGCTGCCCGCCGTGCTGGCTGCACTGCAGCATACGGTTGTCAGCGCGGCGCTCAATAAGCCAACGCGTCCCGATTTCCATAGTCATGGAGTGCCGCACAATTCTCTGGTTGATGAGGTGAGTACGAAAAGTAATACGCTTGTGGAAAATGCGTGAAAATCCAAAGTTAAATGTTGTTTTCTTTCTAATTTTTCTCTTCACATGTTGCAGTTCGCATTGAAATTGCCCTCGCTGACGGTTCTACAGCAGCACATGGCGCCAGCCATGGCCTGCGATGGCGTCTTTGTTTATGTCCTTTATGGCGGTGCATTGTTAAAGATTGGCACCGGCTTCGGTGGCTCCTACAAGGGGCACATCTATGCCCAGAACGAGGAGTTCTGTCGCGAACGCAACGCCTGGCTGGGCTACAGCGGCGGTCAATTATATTTTCGACGCAATTGCAAACGCAGCGCCGATCAGCTGCAGCTGGTGGGCATGGACACGCTGGCGGTCAAGTCAATGAATCCACTCAATATGCTCTCGATGCGCGAGGGTCTCAACTATGTGCTCTTCACCGATGACGATTCATTGCATGCCATTTGTAGCAATCGCGATGTGAGTAAAAGTCAATATCCATTCGGAGTTTTTCTTAATATAAGTGCGTATATCTGTTAGGATTATGATAATAATAGACTCTTAGTTGACTACACTTAATATCTGTGCCAGATGTAGTTTTTTCTTGATCTGACGCGGATATAAACAAGAATATTTGTGCATTTCCAGTTGCAGGTCTCCAATTCACAGAGTCAACATAGTCTATTTCTAAAACTGCACTCTTCAATTTACTCACTTCAGAGGAAGATATAAAGCACTTAATACATAAACAAAGTATATATCTTTGAATAATTGCCAACACAGTTAGTTTTCACCCATTCAGGTGAATTTAAAACGTTTCTGTTTTGTTCCAAGCAGCTTTTACAATATTTGGCTAAATATGTAATCCAATCTTATGCCTTATTAAATTGTTATTTAAAGAATACCTTTAATGACTGTTCTTATGTATGCTAATAGAATTTCCAACAGAGTTAGTTTTCACCCATTCAGGTGAATTTAAAACGTTGTTGTTACATTCGATGCAGTTTTCACAGTATGTAGGAAAATATGAAATTCAGCATTTTTGCTATTTAAATAAAACATATACGATTTATAACTGCAATTATATATGCACAGAAAAAAGTTACCCGGCGTCGCCCGGCTCAAATATATATTATTTAAGCGCAAGCGCTATCAAAATTGTTTTTTTTTTTTTTGCCAATTCGAGATATAAGCAAAGCAGCTTGAAAACTAGCACGCATCTAGGCGTACGCAAATTAATAATTTGAACCAGCGACCTCTTGCTTGTCGTTCCGACGCTCAGACATTGAGAATATGCAGGCTCCGTTTAGAAAGACTCTTTTTATATGTAACTTGTAATGTTACTTATCATTTTTCGTATTACTCCTATTGCCTTGCAGGACACACTGGTGGTTAAGAAGCTTAACCTTTATCACAATAGCTACAGCAGCGAGCCGCCGCCGTTCGAGCTGCCGCTGCAGTTGGCGCGCAAAAAGTTCCGTACGCTGGGTTATGCGGCATTCGAGGACGAGCTGCTCAATCAGCAGCAGATCCAGCGCATACAGTCGGCGCACAATAGCTTTGAGCCAAAGTTGCCGGCGCCGTGTCGCGATGCCGATGTGCTGGGCATGGCCTGCGGCAAGGAGTTCGGTTTGGTACGTGCCAGCAATGGGCGTGTCTACTACTATGGCAAATCGGCGGCATTGGGCTTGAAATGTGTGGGCCGCACGCCCACACTGAAGCTGACCGAACTGATTGTCTCGAAGGCGGCTCACATTGTGCACGTGGCCGTTGGGCACGATGGCATACATGCGCTGCTCGTGAACGATGACGGCACCGTCTATTTTGCGGGCACGGCGCGGCGCGGCGAGGATGGCGACAGCTCCAAGAATCGACGCCAACCAAAGGCGGTGAAGCCCAAGAAGATGACCAAAATCGATGGACATGTGGTGGTGCATGCCGCTTGCAACAATGGCACCTCCGCCTTTGTGACCAAAACGGGCAAACTGATCATGTATGGCAAGGATACGGCACACTGCGATTCGATGGGCTTTGTCAGCGAGCTGCTCGATCAGCATGTGACCAAAGTGGCGCTGGGCAAGGCGCACTGTGTCGCCTTAAGCGCCAAGGGCCAGGTCTTCACCTTTGGCCTGAACAATAAGGGTCAGTGTGGGCGTGTCTTCAACAAAATGATGCCCGTCCGTGATGTGCCCAGCTCTTCGGCGGCGTACGCACTGCTCGGCTTGCACTCCGACAAGCTGCGCCACAAACTGGACTTCTCAACGCTCTGCGACTACGATGATCATAATTTGGTTCAGGGCCAGTGCCGCGTCTGTGTCATGTGCCGCGAATGCACCGGCTACAATGTCAGTTGCGTGTCCGCGCTGAATGTGCCGCTAGAGCAGCGTCTGGCGGGCAGCATTTGTCCCTGCGGCCATGGAGATGCTGGCTGCGCCAAGTGCGGTCTGTGCGCCGCCTGCGTTGCGCTGCAGGAGAGCGAGATTGGTAGGTATCAACGTTTATTTCTATTTGCTTCTAATACTAATGTCTGGCCTTCAGTTGCAGCCGATGCGAAGGCGGAACTAAAGCCGCTGCCCGGTGAATTGCAGCGACAGCAGCGCTCCAAGACGCTGATCATGCGGCGCAAGGAAAAGAAACCCTCGGAGCTGGAAACTGGCGCCGCTGGTTGCACTGGCGGCGGCGGCACACCCACCGATCTGGAGAAGGATCCGCCGCGTGTAGCGCCGCTGGCACCGCAAGTGCTGCAGCTGCCAAGTGGCTCGCCGGTGGTGCAAGTGGCCTGCGGCCTGCACCACACCGTGGTGCTCACGCTGGCCGGCGAGGTCTTCACATTTGGCAGCAATCAATACGGCCAGCTGGGCAGCGGAGATCTGCAGGCAGTCACTGGTCCGATACGCGTACAAGTGCAGGGCGCCATTAGCCAGGTGGCCGCTGGCAGCAATCATACGGTGCTGCTCACGCACAAGGGCATTGTCTACACATTCGGCAACTATCAGAAGGGTCAGCTGGGTCGCTTGCCCAGCGATTATGGCCAGAAGACGGTGCCCAACAACGCCATTGCCCAGCAGCAGCTGCTGCAGCAACAACAGCAACAGCAGCAGGAAGAGGAAGCTGCCACACAGGAGGCCGCCTGCGTGCTGCCCGGTGGCTCCAAGGAGACAATACTTATACCGCCCAATACGGCTGCACTTATAGCGCAGCGCCAGAAGTTTCTATGGAACTGTGCGCCCGGTGCCGTCTTGTAAATACCGCTTCCTAAATGCGTTTACACATTATCATTTATACATGTTCTTTGCTTTGCAGCGGCCTGGGCCCCAGCTATGGCAAAAAGGTTACCTGGATCGGTGCCAATGGCGACCAGACCTTCATCAAAATTGACGAGTCGCTGATCACCGCCCAAATGCTGCCCAAGATGCATGTGGTGGCCAACAAAAAGACCATAAGTTAGTATGCAATCAATTGCAATAAGAAGCTGCCTTCGGGTTGTGCCGAAGTTGAAATACCCTTGTAGAAATATGGCCTTAGAAGTATTGTAGACAACGACTGATACCTCAAATATTATCCTTGCCAAACTTGACATCTACAAGAATTTTTAAAGGAACAATATGTCATTCAATTAGGTCTTGCATGGAAAACCTTTCTGGTTTTATATCTTGATAGCTTGACTTATTGGTCTTCACAATTTGTCCATAATATTCGTTAACCGTGCGCCTCACATCTAGCAGATTATTTTTGTATTTTTCTTGCATCATCATTAATTAATGTGCTGTTGTTTCTCTTGCAGTACTCATACCCAGCATTCCGCTGTCATTTCACACGCTCTCCATAAACCGTAGCGATGGCAGCTGCACGCCACATTATCGCGGCCAAACGAACTTTGCGCAGCTGCTGCAGGCGCAACAGCCACTTGGACAGCCGGAGATCAATCGAAATGTGGACGTGGCGACGCCTTTGGTCGCCGAACTGCCGCTGGTCAGCAGCACCACGGCCGGTGTGCCCATCAATGAGCAAATGTCGCGCAGCATGCACGAGGCGCGCAATCACATCTTCGAGGAGCAACAGCATATGGAGACGGGTCAGGCCACATCGCTGGCGGCCTCGCCACGACTGCAGCGGCGCATACGACCGCGACCAGAGGCAGCCGCTTGCCCGGTATCGCCCGAGCAGCAGCAGCAGCAGCAGCAGGCGCTGCCGCCGCAAATCTCCTTTGCCATGGATCCCAGCTACAATGTTCTATGGGTATTCGATGGCGGCGCCCGCAAGCTGCGCTGCCACAATGTGGTGGCCAGTGAAATCGCCGAATGCGATGTGGTATGTGGCAATCAATTTAATCCTTAGAAGGAAGAGATTCGGGTTATCTTCTAGTCGGAACCAACCGACTAGAACCGACTCTTGTTTCTTTTCCTCTTTTTCCTAAATATGTTGTGCACGTAAAGGATTTAAATTGAAGTGATTTATGCCTTATCGAGCCTGCTTAACTAAACTCAATTATATTGCAGAACGCGGGCAACTATCGGGCGCTGTTGTCGCCGGAATTGTCGCTGCCGTGCAAGGCGGAGGCGCGCGTGTCCCGCTCGCAGGCATCGCTCAATTTGCTGGCCTGCCTGGATATACTGACATCGGCACAGGACAATATACCCGGCTGCTTTGAGCAGGCGCTGCCACAGCAGCCGCACCAAACGGCCGAGGCGCAGAGCGGCGAGTACCAGGTGGTGAACCGATTCGACAACTTTGGCGGCGGCTGGGGCTATTCGGGGCACAGTGTGGAGGCGGTGCGCTTCTCGGCGGACACGGACATTGTGATATGCGGCTTTGGCATGTTTGGCGGACGCGGCGAATACAGTTGCAAGCTGAAGCTCTACGATCTGGGCGCCGATGGCGGTGGCTACGAAAAGGAGGGCGTACTGATTAGCGAAACCAAGGAGGTGCCATATGAGTGCGCCGCGCGTAGCAAACATCACATTGTGCTGCCGAAGCCGGTGAGCGCAGCGGCGGGTCGCTGGTATTTGGTTTGGGCACGCATCGCGGGCCCATCCTCCGATTGCGGTTCGTGCGGCCAGGCATCGGTTACCACCGAGGATCAGGTGGTCTTCTCGTTCAAGTCCAGCAAGAAGGCAAACAATGGCACCGATGTCAACTCTGGCCAAATACCCGCCATACTGTATCGCCTGGTTACCCAGGACTGCAAGCAGTCACCGCTGCCGCTCGATGCGGATCCCGTGCAGCGCATATCGCGCGCCTTTGCCAACAGCGTGAGCCGCGAGTGCTTCGAGAGTTTGGTGGTGCTGCTCAGCTGGTCCTGGGACTGCTTCAAGACACAGCTGCGTGAGCAACGCGAACGCACAAGGCCGCTGCAGCTGCAGCAAACGCTTCAGTATCTGGGCTATGTCAACAAGTCCTGTCTGCGCCTGCTGCGCAAATACACCAACGAGATCTATCCACAGCGTGCAACAACAACAACAGCAACAACAACAACAGCGACAACAACAACAACAGCGTCTGTCAACAACACGGCTGCGAGCGGTTCAGCTGCTGCTGTCGCTGCCCTTTCCAAGCTCCAACAAGCCAAGACAGTTAACAAAGGTATGCTCCATCAGTTTGTTGGCTTTCCGAAATCGTTTCTTATACCTTCTTATGCCTTGCAGACAAGTCGACAAGTCGTGCGCTCAGCAATGCATCCAGCGCGCAGTCCAGCGCCGTGTCCGCCTTGGGCACGGGCACGCCGGCCACGCGCAAAACCAATCTGGAGAACATTCAGCTGGCCGAGTGCATTGGCAATGTGCGCGCCCTACTCATTAGCATCTTTTGCGACGACATCTTCAAGGACATTGCCACCGATGAGGGTGAGATATATATGTATATTTATGTTAACCTCATGGCAACCTCATGGCAATGCTTAATTTCACTGCAATTCCTATCTAAATAGGCATGCGATTCATCATTCTGTTGGGGGCAATACTTATGCCAAAGCAACGAACGGTTGTTCATTGCGTTTCCAAATAAACAAATCTGTTATTTTTATGTGCTCACTAGGAAATCCGCTGTACTCCTCAGTCAATATACAAATTTTATTTATAGCAGCACGCTTTGATTGTCTCAAAATCATAAAATATAGCCCGCTATGTGTGTCAGAAATAGCTTCCATGTTTGTTGTCCGATCTTTAAAGGCCGTTCATGCGGCATTCAAATGAGTGTTTATACCAAATCACAAAGCGTTAAGAGAGCTATTTCAACTTTCGACCCATGTCCATATAGGATATTTGAGCGCACCATTCTCACATGAATTTCGACCAAAAATAATGTTGCCAGATTTAGATGCCAAATTGATCTAGAGGCCAAACGAAGAACAAAGAGCCAAACCTCGTGAAAATCGGATGAGATTTGACCGAGTTATGGGCTTGGGAAATTTTGATCTATGTCCTTATAGGATATTTGAGGGAATAAGTTTCACATGCCTTTTAAGGCCAGAGCTTTGCACTGTTGTCATCAATTATTTTTTTGCCGTTTAACATAAACTCCCAACTAATCTTCTCCTGCTTTTTAGGCTATGCACTGGTACTGGAAATCCTGGACGAATGCCATTTGAGCTTTGTGGCCTGCTTTGATGCATTCTATCCAACATCGTCGCTTAAATGGAACTGCCTGTGCGATTTGCTGGCCCAAATGGATCGCGGTGCACTGCATTCACGCCTGCTGAGCGCCATTCTGGCCGGGCTCTGCTCGCCCACAGTCAAGCTGCGTGCCACGTTCTCGCTGCTGAACGCAGCTGGTGGCAATGAGCGTCAGTCGATAATCAGTCCCAGCGATAATTCGGGTCTGCCCATGCTATCGTCAACGGAGGCCCATCAGTATCCGATACTGGTCGAACAGATGATCTATCGCACGCAGCAGGAGAAGAGCGACTTTTTGAGCAACTCGTGGACATTTAAGGATGTGCTGGTGCGCCTGCTGGAAATCATAGCCAGTCCAATTAGGGCGCGCATTGAGTCCATCTATAGTCGTTGCCTGGGCGGCAGCTATGCGTTCAAGGAGTGCATCAATCAGGGCCTCATTGACAACTGTTGCCACCTGCTGGCCCGTGTCCTGGCCGAGATTGTTTATCAGACAGCGCTGGGCGAATATGATAAACTATTTTTGCCGCCGCGCACTTTGCACTCGACCAGTTCACGTTTCGCACGCTGCGACTTGAGTCGCACCTGGAATACGGGCAATTTTGGACCGGATGCGATTGCCTTCTCTGTGGATCGGCCAGGCATTGCCATCGCCGGCGCCATGATCTATTCGGGCTCGGGCAGCTATGACTATCAGCTGGAGCTGCTGTATGACAATACGGTGGATCTGCAGCCGCAGCACAAATGGGAAACATTGGAGTCCATATCGGGCAGCTATGATCAGGAGGCGGTGCACAATGATCTGGCCGAAATCAAATTTGAGCATCCGGTGCACATCAAGGAGCACGCACGCTATGCATTACGCCTGTGCTCCCAGGGCGCGCGCACCTGTTCCGGTGATGCGGGCATGCCCACAGTGCGCGGCCCTTGCGGTGCCAATTTTCATTTCTATGCCTGCGATCTGAGCTTCAATGGCACCACGCCCGCGCGCGGCCAACTGCCCAGCATACTCTACTACAGCACGCCCATCAAGCAGCAGCAGCAACAGCAACAGCACCATCACCAGCAGCTCCATCAACAGCAGCAGCAGCTGCTGCAGCAGGATGCGGCATTGTCTGCTGGCGCCGGCTGCTCAGCGAATGCGGCACATGGCAGCGCTGTGGCCAGCAACGAGATATCCACGCGGGATACGGCGCTGCAAATAGCCGCTGATATAACAAAGAAATGCACGGAATTGTTGATATTGGCGCGCAATGCGATGGCCGCATCCTGTTCGCCGTCAGACAACTCATCGTCGAATCATACACAGACCATCGATTCGGAGCACAATATAACGCCCATTGAGGAGCATATGGACATTAATTGGGCAAATAATTCACGGACCGCAGCGCTGCCCGTTGATCCGCAGCTGTCGACAACGGCCAGGGATTTGGGTAAACGCATCGAGTCTTTCTCCAAGGGCATCATGGAGACACTTAAATTTGACAAACGCTCAACGAATCCATTCGAAATGGAAATCGAAATTGGCGCCACGGAAATTGGTGTCGAAGAGACGGCCGAAATGAATTTCTCCAATGTCCAATTGGCCGCCAAGCTCAATGGCAACGAGCGTGCCGAGTACGAGCTGGCATCAGAGGAGCCAGACCAGCAGCAGCAGCAGCAGCAGCAACAGCAACTGCTGCAGCAGCAACAGTTGCCGTTACAGCAACAGCAGCAACAATTGCCGCCGCAGCCGCATCCGCTGCAGCATTCAACACAGCAACTGTTGCATTCGGACTCGGAGGAGGCACAAATTGTTGGCGGCGGCGGCGGCGGTGTTGCCGCCTTGCAGCTGCTGGAGGTATTCAATTTGGCCGCCTCGAATATGTTTCATACGCTGTTGCCGCTGGTCTATGCGCACATCGCCAACTTGGCCTGCAGCGATCCCAAGAGCTCCGTACAGATACTCGGCCTCATCAAGGAGATATTACCGCACATTGCGGCGCTCAATCAGCTGCATGTCTCCAAGGAGCAGCGCACAGAGCAGCCGCTGCTGCGACCCGAACCCACAACAACCGCCACCAGTAGCAGCAGCAGCAGCAGCAACAGCACCACGACCAGCAATCACTATTGCATTGTGGAGAGCGAACATCCGTATCGCAGCGCCAGCATCAGTTGCTATCGTGTCGAGTTTCCGCCCTGTGTCCAATGGCTGACAATTGAGTTTGATGCACAATGTGGCACCGCACAGCTCGAGGATTATTTGCTGCTATCGATACCCATGCGTCCGGCGGCCGCAACACAGCCCTGCCAGGCGACGACAACGACGCCAGCAGCTACTGCAGCTGCTGCTGCAGCTGCTGCTGGAGAGGATTACTATGATATACTCGATAATAATGTGAGTGCACGACGCGCCCATAATGCCCAGCTACAGATGACCAGCTGCTGTCGCACGCCCGGCACGCAGCCACTGCGTCAGTTGGATGCAGTCGATCACGATTGGATTGTGGTCAAGAAGTTCAATACGTACGCACTCAATTGATATATATATATTCGTGTAATCCAATTGATTTCTCATTGCATTTTTCCATCGCTTTCAGCGCCTCCAATTGGCTGCAGAACGTTCTGATTTTGCCCGGCAATTGCGTCGAGTTCTCACTGGAGACGGCCTCACTCTATGCCCAGGATCCGCATAACAATCGCTATGGCTTCAAGTGTCTGGTCGTTGGCTACGACAATCCCACGGCGGTAAGCAACCCACTTTCAAATATATATTATATCATCCAACTTGTACTTAACTATAACAAACTATTGCCCTCTCGCTCAGATCAATGCCAGCAATTCGTGTCTGATACGACTGGAACAGGAGCTGGCCTATCTGGGCGGCATGTGCAGCGCCAATCTGATGAAAAAGGATCTTCATCTGCCGGGTACGTCATAACAGCTTGCATTTGCGCAAGCATGTCTGGAATTTGAATTTGGTTCGTCTGTCTGTTTTAAGTCAATCGATCAGCTTCCGTCAACAAACCTTGTGTAGGTTCGTTTTTCTCTTGCAGGCAGTATTTATGTCAGGATGGGCTGAATTGGATTATTATGTCAGTCAGACTTCAGCAAATGTGGGTTTTCATGCTCCTTACGCATCCTCCTCCTTATCCTTATATATATATATATATGTTGAAAATGTTACTATTCCTATTCATATTCTCATAATCCGTTTAAATCCATTTTGTGCAGATGACAAAGATATGGACGACATGAGCGGCATTGAGGAAACAATTAGCGCTCACCATTCGCTGCTCTCCAAGGGCTTTGCGCTATCCGAACCGCATTTAACCGTGCATCAGGCATTGGAATCATATCTGCCCATTGGGTAAGTGCCATTCACCATGATTATAAGTTCTCATTTACCCGACGAGTTTGATACTATATGTTAGCCATTTCAAGTGTTGCGTTAGTGATTTTTCAGAGTATTTGCTGTTATGTTAACGATGCACTGTTAAAGACGCACTGTTAAGAAGCATGTTAACTAACATTCGAATCCATTTCACTGTTGTTTTAGTCACTGCACTTCTTTTTTACTTAGTTCTTTCGAACAACGGAGCGAAATCGATTGTAACGATATATTTATATTTATTTATTAATGGTCGACAAAACGAGTGTCTTCCTCATTATTCAACAGGTTGTACAATATAAGTATATTCTAAAAGCCTAGTTAAAGGATACAATTTTCTAAATAGCATCACCGACCGATGGAGGTGTTTTATTTGCCAGTCCGGCCAGCTGTGCCCCTTTTCACAGCTAATTTTGTCAGTGACGCTATTAGAGCCTACATCTAAGCAGAAGGTTGTAAGTAGGAAAAAAGTGATCTCAAGTGAAATTAAAAATAATCTTAATTTGCTAAATTAATAAAGAAAATACAATAAGTAGGAAAAAAGAAAGTAAGAAAATTGTTAATAAAGTAAAGCAATGTAAGTTAGATAAAGAGTGTTAAGTGGATAGGACAAAGAGAAAAGTATTGGGAAATCACCGACACGGTGGGGGAAAATTATTCAGCCTGTCCGGCTAGCTATGCCCCTGCTCATAGCTGGGAATGGTCAGCGACTTCCCGAAGGTATCCTGAAAGCAACGATTTTATTAGGGGTAGAGACAGTTCGGTAGAGAAAACGTGATGCAAACTATTATAATTTTTACATAGCACGCGAAAAGAATTGTGCATAGCGTAATCAGTTGTGCACGTAGATAGTAATAAGGGGCGATAATTTCTGGTTGGTCTAGCCGGAACAGAGAATTGAAGACGCCCTAGCAGAAAAGGAGAATCAATGTCGCCAATAATCAACTTATGTAGAAGGACAACACCGAGAATTGTCCTACGGTTGATTAACGACGGAAGGTTGAGAAGAAGCAGTCTGCTGGAGTAGGACGGCAACCGAAGATTAGGGTCCCAATTTAAACCTCGTAAGGCAAAAAGCAGAAATTGCTTCTGAACAGATTCAATACGATCCTGGCTGTTGATATACTGTGGAGACCAGATGCAAGAGCAGTATTCAAGGATAGGGCGAACAAGAGAGATGTACAGAAGTTTTGTTATAAAAGGATCGTTAAACTCTTTAGACCATCGTTTAATGAATCCAAGTACACCTTTTGCCTCATTAACAATGGTATCTATATGAAGATTGAAACAGAGTTTAGAATCAAAAATAACGCCTAGATCCTTAACTGTTAGTATACGTTGCAAAGGGATATTGTCGATTGTATAACTAACAAGATAAGGTGTAGTACGATTAAAAGTCATAAACATACACTTTGAACAATTTAGATGCAATTGATTGGCCGAACACCAAAGTTGCATAGCGTTCAAATCGTCTTGTAGACGAGAATGATGTAGGGTGAAGAATCGTTCAGGCTTTGCTGTTGACATAACATGCACTGTTAACGTGCTGAATGTTAACAGCATACTGTTAAGTTGTTTGCTGAGGCAAGGCTTAAAACTTAAACCCTAAATGAATCTTAATAATAACAAACGGAAGTCGTTTTTCTTATTTACAGCTTATATAGGTTTTGGGTTTAAAATAGTTGCGATATTATATAGATAGGATGGATAGCATAATGTTACACGATACAAACTAAGCGTAGACTATGAATTTGGTACAACGAAAGGTCACTCTTGGTGGTTCTTGGTGGTGCGCCGCGTCGCTCTGCTTTAGCTAGCGTCTGTCAGCTGTGTGTGTGTGTAATTTGTGTGTGTGTGTGTGTGTGTGTGTGTGGCTTGTAGCTTTACAAATCAGTCTTGAGCAGGCCTGCGTTCTCGATTTGGTATACAATCTGCGTCTCCTTGTAGGTGCGCGGCTCCGGTTGCACCACATCCAGTTTGCGTCGCCGCCGCCGCTGCGCGAGACGCCACCACAGCAACAGCAGCAGCAGCAGTAGCAGCAGCAACAACAGCACGCTGCCCGCCACAATATAGGCCGTGTAGCTGCGGCGCTGGCATTGCTCGCCAATTAGCTGACGCAGCGGCATAAATGACGTGTGAGTGCCATCGACTGTGGCGGCACTGCGGAACAGCAGCTGCTCGCTGTGCTGGCGAAAGAATTCGGCGCGTGGCTGCGGCGGCTCTGTGCTCGTGTCCAGCTGGTCACAGCTCCAGACATTGTCGTAGCACAGCTGGCGTATGCTTAGCGCGAAGCGCTCATTGAAACGCAGCGGTTGAGGTGGCGCCGATGCCGCCGCTGCCGCCTGATCCAGGCTCTTGCCGCCGGGCAGCAAACTGTGCAGCGTGTTGTTGTGAAAGCGCAGCTCCAGCCGCTCGCTCAGCTGATAGTCGCGATGCACGAACAGGCTGCGAAATGCAATCTCGCTGGTGCCACCAAACTGATTGCCACGCAACGTGACCGCGTCCCGTATATGCGCCTCCAGCCACTCGCCATCGACGGCCGCAAACCGATTCTCGCTCAGGCTCAGCTTGGAGATGACTGCATAAGAGATTTATATTAAATAGATAATACAAAAACAAAAAAAAGAGCTGATCCTCTCCAGCTGCACTTACGCTTGAAGGAGAAGGCATGCGAGTGCACCTCCTGAAACTGATTGTTTCGCAGCGCCAGCTCGTTGGTCACCTCCAGCTCGTAGAAGGCACGCGTTGGCAAATTTCCAATGAAATTGCAATTGCTAATTATCAGCTTCTCCACGGCAAACTTTTTAAAGGCCTGTAAAAAATCGAGTGATAAGTTTTAGATATCACATCACAAAATTCTATGGCCCAAATTCGTAGCTTAGCTCCTTGATGACATCAACTGTATTTTTAATTTGTGTTCTATTAGCTGCCTAATTTGTCCTGCTTTCATTTTTTCAGAGGATGTGAATGTTAACGTCACATAAGCATAAGTAAATCATGTTAACATCATGTTAGCTGCAAGCAGCAAAAATGTTAACTTAACTTTAGGATATAGGACCAAGTAGTTGCAACAAATTCGTAGCTTTTGCCAACGAGAAGCCAATTTAAAAAATATGCAGCTCAAAGATGGTTAGATTTAATTTCCTTTGATGTTAGTTATTTGTGCTTTTACAGCATGTAATTACTTAATGTTAAATTTAACAGAAGCAGATAAACTGCTGCCAACAGTTTGAAAGAAACCGAACAGCTTTACAAAACATTAACTACGTTTGACAACAGGTTCAACTGGCCGTCAAATTAACCAGAATCTACTGTCAACAGTTTGATAGCAGGAGAACGAATGGCTGAACCTTTAACTTCGTTTGTTAACATGTCTAACTGGTTGTTAAATTTAACGTACGCCGATAAACTATTGGCAACAGTATGTTCAACTGACTGTCAAACTTAATTGAAGCTATTAGCAATAGTTTGACATGAAAAGATCAGATAGACGTTTACCAGCATGTGCAACTACCTGTTAAGTTTAACAGCAGCAAAGAGACTACTCTCAACAGTTTGGCAGGAAGAGAACAGCTTGCCAAATCATTAGTTTAGATAGCATGTTAAACCGCTTGTCAAAGTTAACAGGCATTTAACAGTTCCTCTGCTAACATTAAAGATCTCTACTTGCTAGGAACTTGAACTCTTTTTAACTTACCTGACTTTCGATGCGCTGTACGGTAACTCCGTCCAATTTGAGCAATATGGCACTATCCTTGATGGTGGTGAAGCCAAATGGATGCATTTGCTCGATGCGTCCACCGGTGAATGAGATCTCCTCGATGTTGCCGCTGATGGCATGCGAATCGATTAACTGAAAGTTAACATTCTCGAACTCAACAATTAGCGCCTTGTTGCTGGCATAGCGGGACGCGCTTAATGCGTTCTGCTGCAGCATCAGGCGATTGATGTGCTTAAAGTTGATCTTGCGCAGACCCTCGGTGTTATCCAAGGTATTTGGCTCCACGGTTAAATCGCGACAATTGCGTACTTCCACCTGAAAAACGGCGCCTTGCAGCTGCGGCATCAGCATGGCCTGGGAGTGCAGAAGGGGGGTAGATGAGTGTTAGCATATGGTTAAGAGATTGCCTATCTACACTCAGAGAAAAACGACGAACAAAGTTGTCGGTGAGAACGAGCAAATTTCAATTGAATGCAGCATGAATCATTCTGTACTCGTAGATCTTAGGAGTTAGCGCAAGGGGCCTAAATTAAGTGCGAAATGTTAATGACAAGAGTTATGCAACATGAATTAAGTAAGAAATTGTTTAAATTGAGATCTGGCTTCCCAATATTGAAGATTAGCGTAAAAGGCTTGAATTAAGCAGAAAATAGTATTCATATGACTATTAAATCTTGTATTAAGCATCAAAAAAGTGCCGCAATAAAGTTCTTTATCATATTTAACTAGTCAACATCAAAAGTATGTGAAAAAGACTTGAATTAAGTCGATTTCAAGAATTTGCAAGCCAGAAAAAAGCTATAAAAAAAAGAGTTTTGCAACTTGAATTAAACATAAGAAATTGCTCAAACAGCTTTTGACATCGTTTCTGACTCGTCAATATTAAAAAAAAATCAAAAAGACTTCAATTAAGTTGCAAATATCAGGCACAATAATTTTCAGGCTTAAAAAAGCATAAAAATGTGCTTAAATTGAGCTTTGCGTAGGAGACTTTGTTTTTTAAATAAGTGAAAACTTGTAAAGAGAACTTTGTGCTCCGTTTAAGTATTTCAAACTTAAGTACTTTAAATTGCAAAATATTAATTACAAATTGAAGAGAAAAACTCTTGAATTAAGAACAAAATGTGCATTAAATAAGGTGGTATATGAGAGTTATTATTGATATTTTTTTGGAAATAAAAGAACTCATTCTCGTTTAAGAACTTTGAGCTTACTTTAAGCAAAGGCGAGCTCGTCTGCACTTCGCTTTGCTTTCATTTTTTTTTTTTTTTTCTGAGTGTAAACACAGACACACGCGGCACTCACCTGATCATCGTTGTTGCAATCGCAGGTGATTGTTGTGTCGTGCTCGGTGCAGCTGACCTTTGGCAAAAACGTCGACGTCGACGTCGCCGTCGGGCAGAGCCAGAGCAGCCAGAGCAGCAGCACGCCGGTGGGATCTTTGAG